AAGTCATACTGGAGCTGTGATGACAATGGGCACTGGAGCAGTGCAAGCAATTACACGAAAGCAGAAATTGAATTGTGACAGCAGTACACATGCTGAACTAATTGGAGTCCATGATGCGATGTCAAATGTTTTGTGGACCCGCTTATTTATGGAAGAACAAGGTTACCCAATCGAGAAGAATATACTATACCAAGATAACAAGAGTTCGATCCTACTTGAAACAAATGGGAGATCGAGCGCCGGAAAAAGGAGCCGTGCGCTAAACATCCGGTATTTCTTTGTGACAGATCAAGTCGAATTGGGCAACATTACCATTGAACATATGCCAACTGATGAAATGTGGGCAGATTACATGACGAAGCCTTTACAGGGCAAAAAGTTTCGCAAATTCCGGGCTGTAATTCAAGGTGACCAGGATTAGTCCTGATGATCGATCTTGGATATTTTACTTATTTTGAGAAGTAATTTTTTGTTCCATCAACTGGAGTCGCTGGTGAAACGACAGGAGTGTGTTGGAGGTATTGATATATTGAGCAATCATATTGGTCGATTATTGATCAATGGTCTATGTGACGTGACGCGGCAGTGACGTGAGTGTCAATCGTGCGTAATATGAAACGCAGTATGTCGGAACGCGTCATCACGTAGAAAGGTGATCAAGAATGAGAATCGTGAGAATTTGTAAGATGATTCTGAACTTCAATCGAGAGTCTCACTATCGATTGAGTTCTGGCAAGAATAGTATTGTGGACGTTGAGGTCCAAACGAATACAAGAGATAATAAAGTAAGACCTTTGATTGAATAAGACTACTGCTTATTCCAGAGGCTGAGGCCCAGAGTCGCTGGTGCCCAAAGGCAGACCATAGCCGGCGTAGATTCGATCTCAGGGACTGCTCATTGAAACAGACAGGGCGTTGAGGCTCCCATTCAGGTCTGTAGAGCAAGTCCATCTGACAGTTTCCAACTCCCTCGGCGCATCAATGGGGCGGATGTTCTGCTACATTACTCCACAAGGTCGCGCGCCGTGCAAAGTCAGGCGGCAAAGATGAGTCAGGGCTAGGCAGGTTCTCATGGATAAAGATCCGGGGCAGGGACATCCGACAGCAGGAGTCTCAGACTGATGGGCCCCCGGCTGGTCCTTTAGATCTTGTGGTGGTCTCTGCATATCGTCCGAACAAGGAAGGTACCAATGCTGGTAGTGTTT